GTTGTTAGTTTGAGGGCTCAGCCGACTTTGATTCAGAGGATTAAAGCAGGCCGGTTGAAGGATATCGAGCTACAGATAATAAGAGAAAGGATCGAATAAGGAGTATAAATAGAGTATAATATACATAGTGGTGGGATACTTAGGCTTGGGATTCAGATGTGTGTTCTGGATAATACGGAGTTACGAAAAGAGATCCTTAGAGAAGCTTATAATACCATATTTGTTATACACTTGGGGAGTACCAAGATGTACAAAGACTTACAGAAGTATTACTGGTGGAAGGGAATGAAACGAGATGTTGCAAAGTTAGTGTCAAGGTGTTTGGCGTGCCAACAAGTGAAAGTAAAACATCAAAAGTCTGGGGGTTTATTACAACCGTTGCCTATACCAGAGTGGAAATGGAAACACATTTCTATGGATTTTGTGACTGGGTTGTCGAGAACTCGTACAAATCATGACAGTATTTGGGTAATGGATGATCGCCTAACCAAGTTTTCACACTTCTTACCGATGAAGGTGTCAAACTAAGTTGATCAATTGACTATATTATACATTAAAGAAATAGTCCGGTTACATGAAACTCCAATTTTAATTGTGTCGGATAGAGACCCCAGATTTACTTCTAGATTTTGGATGAGTCTATAGTAAGTGATAGATACTCACTTAAATTTTAGTACGACTTTCCACCTATAAACAGACAGATAAACAAAGAGAACCATACAAGTACTAGAGATATGTTGAGAGCGTGTATCATTAAGGTTAGGAGAAGTTAGGAAGAAATGCTACCTCTCATAGAATTTACATACAACAATAGTTATCATGTTAGTATAAGAATGACTCCTTATGAGACCCTTTATGGCAGACCATGCAGGTCACCCGTTTGTTGGTATAAGGGTGGGGAGAGGCAGCTAGTGGGCCCAGATTGGTAAAAGAGACTACTAAAAAGGTGATAGTGATACGACAGAACTTACGAACAGCTCAGAGTAGGTAAAAAGTGTATGCAGACAACCGAATGAAAGACTTGACCTTTGAGGTAGGAGATCATGTAATCCTGAAGGTATCTTTAGTGAAGGTTTATTAAGATTTGAGAAAAAGGAAAAATTGAGTCTCAGGTTTATAGGCCCTTTTGAGATTCTTGAAAGAGTGGGGACAATGGTTTATAGAATAACATTTCATCCGAGGTATGCCGAGATTCATAATGTATTCCATGTATCGATGCTGCAGAAGTATCAACCCAACCGGACACATATTATACTAGTTGAGTCACTTCCGTTGGAGAGGGATTTGATCTATGAAGAAAAATCAGTCAATATCCTAGAAAGACAAGAAAGAAAATTGAGAAGTCAAGTAATACCTATGGTGAAAGTGTTGTGGCAACATCACAATAATGAAAAGGCAACATGGGAACAGGAGGATGAAATGAGGACCTATCCGTAATTATTCCAAGTCATATGTCGAAATTTGAGGGTCCAAATTTCTTTTTAAGATGGGAGTATTGTAATAGCTTAGTAGAGTCAAATAAATGAGTGGTGGGGATTAAAGGGTTAGGAATAGATGGGTAGGATTTGATGGGGAGGAGGATATATAAAAGAGAAAAAAAAAAGAAACAGAAAGAGGAAAGAAGAGAGGGAGTTAGTCGATAAGGAGGAAGGAGAGGGAAGAGGGGAAAGTGAGATTAGTAATAGCAAGTCAAAGAAACGTACCGGTGGAGAGAATTTTATTAAGCTATGAGGAGCTAGAAGCTAGAGGTAAGATAAATTCATATACTCAGATATTATTACGGTGATATAGAGATTAGATTTCTGTGTAGATTATTGATATGGAGGAATTCCGAACAGGAGGAGGAAAGGAGGTGTGAATTGGATTTGTGAGCTGAGTGTAAGAGAGGGAGAGGGAAGACAATCGGCCGAAATGGAGTTAGGTCAAGGCATGGTGAGGTTTGGAACGATTTTCCTAGCGACGTGTCGATAATCG